GCAAATTTCGTTGAGCAACTATAATAATGATAGTAATAATATTAATAATAACCTAACCCTACATCAGCGTCGGCGATGTTTTCTACTGCCGSCASTGSCGGCAGTAGGTAGCAGGCAAAGGCCCAGGGGCGCAATAATATTGAACGCTTTCGAGTGCCGCTGCGGCGTGTATAATTGCTTGTTACCGCTTTTCGAGTACCATCGCTACTACTAATACAACAGCTATAGTAACTATACGTCGCGCGGTGGACCCCTGCTGTAGCAGCGACCCGCGAAAAACATTCACTTCGATCCCCCTCGGAAGACACACTGACGGCGGCCCGTGTATTTGTAAATAATTCACGATAATTTCACACTTGTCACGGGGTGAGCAGCTTTTTTTCGGTTTTGATTTTTTTTTTTTTCGTTTTTTTCCCTCCCGTCCCATTCCGTTTTATTTCATTTCCTTTTATTACATTATATCATTATATTATATACCGCACCGCCGTCCCATTATTTGTCACCCGTCTCCTATATTATGTGTACAATATATAACATACATATATATATATTATACACACACAGACACGCGATTACAGCTTCAACTGCAGCTCGAATCGGTGTTATGTGTGCGCCAGCGATTACGACCCGCTGAGATTTCCTGGTCAACGTCTCTGCACACGGACGCACGCAAACACGTGCACTTAGGTCCACGAAAAACGCCTTTGGCACGCCTCGTTTGGCACGCACAATGCAAACGTCGTCGCATCGCCACACCAGCACCACACCGTTGCGGTCATGGTTTTAAGTTGTTTCGAGGTTTTTTTTTCCGTTAAACAGTCTCAACATTACCCCCTCCCCTCACCCAACCCACCACCGATGCCTATATATTTGGTCCTACTTGCACCCCAATGAGAGGTACTATACGCTCGCTATATACTCATCGGGACATTTCCCGTGTAAACCGCAATAAAATATTTGTCCCGAGCACGCTCGCTGTTCGACGACCGAATCGAACCAGCCACGCTGCACTTGAGACGCGCCTTGTATAGGTACCTAACACGCCACGGCGTATTTATTTATTGTCGGTGTACAACAATTGTAAATGCGCGTAAAATTGTGCTGTACGCATAATATATTGCATATATATGTATAGCGCTGGCTACAGTTTTAACGAGTTTCTTTGTGTTGCCGATTTTTTTTCAAACTTAAATTCGCACGAACATGACCGGATCGGTTATCCGCTTTTTGCAATAGGTTGGTGMMGCTAAATACTTACATGACGTGGATTTTATATTATTAAACGATATATAGGTACCTACCTACTAACATAAATCCATGCAGGTAATTGATAATATTCTTGAAGTTTATCTTTTCAGAAAATTAAGTACAGCCGAGGACAATATCAAACAAATCGATCATTACAAAAATAGCTGCCATTTTGTTTCCATCCAATCGAGTTACTGTAGCTGGAGTTTTCGTGTYTTGTTCCATAAGAATTTTATTATTTGTTAACATGTTTTATTAATTTTGGTACTTGACATTATATCATATTAATCTTCATTGAGTGTTAATGTTTTACTGCTATACTATTATGCGAACATAATTGTATTAGTATAGATTGCTCAAACACAATTAATTCTATCAAAAATAACATCATCGACGGTCGTAATGTTTTAGATAYTTTACTAMATGTAAAGTTTTATAAACTTTCAAAAGAAAGTTAGCTAACAATATTTAAGCATTTTTTAAATAATTATGTAATCATTACATTAAATACTTATAATGAATATTATATATACTAGTTATTATAGTATTAWATTGTGGTGGGGCTGTGGTAATATATTTAAAGTTTTAAATATTAATCAGCTAAATTATTTCATGAAGAAATAACTGTGAATAATTAGAATTTTTCAAACCAAAACAAGTTATTGTATGAAAAATAAATTCAATTTTGAATTAAAATGGATACTACACAAACCAAAAAACTTCGATAAATAAAATTCTTATGGTTGAAACTTTAAACCTAAATATTATTTTATCAACTTTTACTTTATTTTTCATTMGGATCAAATCAAAATAGTATAGGTTGGGTCCAAACAGGGGCATTTAAATTAATTTATATTTCGTGAATGGGTTTCGTCTAAAAATTWGTACTTTATAGTGTATAAGTATCCAGATAAATGACTAGGKCAGTTGGTAACTCCTTTCCTGTTATTTTTTTGAAAATACTACAAAATATATAARTGGCAATAATATTATATGCGTGAAAATAATTTTAAGTTTTAAAATGTTACTAGTTATTGTTATATATAGTTATGAATACCTAAATGTGAAAAAACTTAATTACATATATGACTTTGTAAGTTGTCAGTTGCAGCGAATAGTAAAAGTTAAAAGTGTTCTTGAACCTATACTTACTATGGATAAATTAATACCTAAACAATGTGTTACCTAGTGTTAGTCTTCTAGAATCACGATCTCTTGAATACAATGCCGAACGTTGCTGCGCCAGTGGCGTACACAGCTATTTTCAATGGTGGGGGGGGGGCTTACATAATATAAAAAATTATATACATATATATATATATATATATGTATATATTATACATTGACAAATCAAAATAATATGTTGTTTAACTAATATTTATTTTCATTATAAAACAATGCCTATTTTCCTGGTTTTTGTCCCAACTCATCAATGACTTCTTCAGGAGTTAAATTTATATTACGGTATACCGACAACATGGTCATCATTAATTCKGGACATTACAACATTTAAGGACGATGTACCTATAGTAATTATTTTGTACATAATGACTCATATTATTAATGAGTAATCGGCTCATTAGCAATGACTTAAGGTGAATTTAAAAATATTTATACAATACTCGATTATTATTTAAAAATATATACCTATTACCTACAGGTAATTATTTAGTTAACTACAAAGCTACACGCGTACATACAATATGTGTATAATACATTACCTGGTTTCTCCGAGTTAATTGTACCACAAATTAGTGATGATTCTTCTTCTGCTATTGGAATAGCAGGCACGGGACTTCTTTTATTCGTATTAGTAGAAAAATATTCGTTTATTCTTTTCATTTTTATTGTTTTATAAAATATTTAAACAGTAAGTACAATTTACTAAACGTCCAAAGCGTAAGGAATTTGATTGAAAACTGAGAAATAGATTATATACTATAGTATTAGCGATACTGCGATAGCTATTAAGGCATATTATATCGGATTACACAGATCTATAAATATTCTACGATTGTCGACCCTCATGTTTGTRTTTGAACAAATTTCCCAATAATTTGAWCCCCCCCCCCCCGCGTGTACGCCACTGTGCTGCGCTAATATACACAGACCATATTTCTATACGTCTATACACAGTTACTTAACGGCGGACTAAACGGATTGTATAGAATTCAGAAATGTAGGTTATATTATGTACTGGGTATATTATAAATAATACATATTATGTATATAATATGGTATATACATGAACCTTCTTCGTAATCTAAACTTACGGAATCACAATATTGAATAAGGCGATAAAGAATTCAAATACATTAATATGAAACGCAGGTATAGGTACACTGTGCTCTAAAAACTTCATAAGAAATTTCATCGAAAATCGTTTTGTGGTTTTTTTTTTTTTAATGGTTATTATTTAGTAATGTAATTTTAAAGTAGGATTTATTTTATAAGTAGGCATTATATATAGTTGATTTGTATGATTTTTTTTTTTAATTTTATGTTGTGTTCGGAAACCTCATCGTTTTCTAAATATACAGGACAACATTTAATTGTGTTTTTTTTTTAAATTTAATTTAAATTTTTTATAAAAGATTATATTAGATAAACCAAAAGTACAATGTTATTTTTTTATTTTTCGACGTTAAACACATATTATTAAGTGTTTATTCTAATTGCCATAAATGCAATTGTATTCTAATAAAAAAGTTTAGTAATTATTTAAATATTTTGCTCTCTAAAACGTTTACAGACAGTAACAAAATACTAAATAACAAAAAACTGATATTTATAAAATATAAATTTTTATACTATAATACAAAACTAATATCAATCAAATTAAATAATTCAATTGTAATTGTTGACTATAACTTCTGCACATTACACGCATTGTGAATTTAATTTAAGCAAATGCAATCTGCACTGATCATTTATCGTGTCACACGCTTATTTGACGCATTAACATTAATTGTTTCTTATATTTAAAGCATTATGTTCACTTTGATTGGTTGGAAAATGTTCGGTTGATTAACAATTAAGATATAATATTCTATTATTCTTGTCTGCCGTTTGGGGAGATTGTGAAATGTCATGTCATGTCGTAGTAACGCTGAAATGGAGAGTTTTTCTATAACAATAGGATTAATGTTTTGAAACTAACATTTTATGCAAATTCCATTCTTTTATAATATTTTTTTATATGGATAATAAATTAATATTTTATTTAATATAGATAAATAAATAATACATCAGAGTATAGAAAAAAAAAATTCAATTAAAATGTATATTATTGAGAACTGTGGTAGGCAGTGTATCTAATGAGTAATCTTTAACACTATAGATATAATTTTATAGTTGATTAATTAATTATAATTATGTTTGATGATCTCACATCAATAGTAATATCATCATATTTAACAATTATAAAAATGTAGTTTTGTATAAACACCAATTATATAATTAAATACCTAGAAAATTAAACAGATATCAAAGATATCATTAAGTAATGTACTTTTTGGTTTCGTATAACGATGAATGTAATTGAAGTTTTTACTATAATATTATGCTTTCGTTTGATCTTGATCTTGAATAATATAATATACCAATATGGTAAATAACAGGACCCACTGTAAAATATTAAATAGTCAAATAATATCTGATTTTGTATTGAATTTGAGTTTAATTGATATTTCTTATCACATTTGAAAAAAATATATTTATATAGAACACCGTTGTTGAATTTGTAATTTTGTCTAAGACCCAATGAGCTTGGCACCTTTCTCTTCTAATTTTAATGACAGAGGCTGACTGTGAAACCAAGCTTCGTCTAGAACAGTCTCTGGATCGGTTTCCAATGCCGGGTGCGCAGTGTTCGGTAGAGCCACGTTGTATCCCGGGAACCAAGTGGGAGGCGTAGACCCTCTAAGTACAGCCGCTGATTGATGAGGTTCTCTAGTTTCCAACAACAAGTTGCGAGGCGCCTCTTGGTCTTCGGTCGTAGACGTTTGTTTGTCGGGAAAACTTCCACCAAGCAATACCTGCAGATCGTCAACATTATCTATAGCCACCGCTTCTGCCACGGCAACGTTCAGCTTGGGAACAATAGTGTCCAGGCGTGAGCCTATTTCCATTTCCGGATCCTTCACATTGATGATGGTCGGAGGTGAATGAGGTACGACCATATCCTGCATATAAAACAATTATTATTGTAAATACTAGTACCTACGTATGATACGTTTAATAGCAATGTAAGCCGCCTTACTTCAGTTGATATGGCTGCTGTAGGACCGAGTGCTACGAGAGGAGCCTCGAGGCTACCTTTGGAAAACAGGTGTTCATATACTTTGATCGGATCAGTGTTCATGCTTAATCCGTTCTCTATTGATCTCATTATATACGCTAAGTACTGCGGATCTACGTTGTTTTCCTTAAATACCGGTAATTTTGACAGATAAGTAAATATGTTTAACACAGCCTTATACAGTAGATTAAACGATTAAACAATTATGAAATAAATTCCTTACGGTCTCTTCTCGGTTTTCTTTGGACGTGGCGTCATACATGTCGATTATTTTCTTTTTCGGTCTTCGTTCATCCAGTATCGTGATGCCACCTAAGACTTCAGACAGTTCAATATCTTTGTTTTCAGCTTCGACTAACTTTTGAACAGTTTGTAAAGTAACTTTGCATTTTTCAGCGGGACATGGGCAGGGACAACAAGGAGTAGGACGCGTAGCTTTGGATTCAGAAATCTTCTTGGATGGATTACCGTAGCATCGACAATCGTCAATTTTATTTCCCTGCGTAATAAGTAACATCGTAGGTATGGTTTATTTAATTTTAATAAATTTATACTCACAGTTTCCATTTTAATTATTTCTTTATATTTTTCTGAAATATATATTAGAACAAATGAACCTTTATATATTTATTTAAATAAGATTTCGGATTATTTATTGTAAGTAAATAATAATACTTCTGAAACTAATGAAAAATAAAATAATACATAAAATGTCTTATGTGTTATTTTTAAATAACAATATATGTTGATGACAGATAAATACATTTTAACTCCATTGCAACCAAATATAACCATGAAGCAAATAACTTTTGAACCAGTGTATAAATATCACAAATTTAAAAAATAAAACCATTCTTAGGCCGCGCGCACATTGTGTACGAATTTGTTTCGTACGAAAACGTACGAATACTGGTCGTACGAATTGATTGCGCACATTGAATACGTTTTATTCATACGATTTATTCATTTATCCATTGCCGGCGTACGAACGTTAATGAAATCCGGACAAGTTCGGATTGTTTTCGTACGTCCAAGTTACACGTACGTATACGTACGAACAAATCGCACCAAGTCTGCGCGCTCACATAGTATTTGGTAGATCGGGATCGTTCGTGCGTGTACGTACAAGTTCGCACGAATCAAATTCGTACGAAAACGCATTCAATGTGCGCGCGACCTTATGATTTATAATATGTACAGGTAAAATTTTCAGTCCAAGTATACCATTTTTTTTTTTTTTGAAACAAGACTGTTTTTATTCAATAAATATTCTAATAAATGTTGCCTATAGTATAATATAATATACCTAATACCTATATAATGCATTGTACGTTTTTGCATATAATAGAATATTATTCGCAGGTCTATTGAATTTAGTGTTAAAATATTTATAAAATGGTTGTATTTTTAATGATTATGTCTTTTCATATAAAATATATAGGTATTACAAATAAATTGGTAGATACAGATACCTAATATTTTTTGAACATTATGTACAATTTATTCATCTTACCCGATCATGGCCCGCATCAATTTTTTCAATGATTTATTTAATATTTTAATATAAGTAGAATTGTAATTAATAAGTCTTTTCTTTTCGTGTTTTTAAAAGGATATAGTATCTGTTTTATTGTTTTTACTTTCTGGTGCATGGGTCTAAACATATACCTTGTACAAACTTGCGTTCACGTGTTTATGCTGCGATAAACTTAAATCGTGTCGATTCCGTTTTATCGAACTGACTTACCCAAGTTTTTCGTTCTCACACACACACGCACACACTCACAAATATATTTACTAGTAGGATTTTAGTCTAAATAACCTTTTTCATTGCATTTAAGAGTTAAGACTGAAATGCATGTAATTCTCAGTTCGTCAGTCGATGTTTTAATGCTCTTAACATCACGCGAAGTTAAAAAATCATCATTTGTATTTACTTGAAGGTATTTGTGTTCCACTTGTCATCACTTGGTATTCATGGCTGTCGTTATTCATGTTATCCTTAGGTACTAGTATAGCTAATCAAAAAGAACGACAATACGTGAGTAGGTTTCAGTAAATTTATTTATCAAGCCCTGTTCTTAACGCAGGGCATACGGGACATCCACACGGGATCCCACATTTTATAATATATAATACAATATTACTATTATGCAATGTATACTGGTACAAGCTAATTTTAAGCTGTGTATTATTTAGAATTATTTTACCTCATTAAAATCATCCAACATTTACATAATTATAAGTTAATAAAAATTGAGTGATTTAGTGTTAAGATATTATTTTGATCATCGTATAGGAAATATTTTTTATTATGAAAACGTCCTACTGTTTTTTTGTTTTAATGTCTATATAATTTGACCATATAACATAAATTTGTAGGTTAAAAATATCATCGAAGAAGTAAAGGCCTTTATTGGATTCTTTAGATATTATAATGACTAATTTTAAAGTAAGTTATGAGCATTTTTAAAATAATGCTTTAAACTACTTTATTGTTCAATTGTTTTAACGTATCTTCAATAGAAAATAAAACTTTACTATACTACATAAAGTCAAAAAATATACATATATTTAGTTGTTGATTAAGCAGAATTAAATAACCAAGTATATAGATATATATAAACTAAACAAAATCTACGTATAATTGTATAATAATATAGGAGTGAAATATTTAAATTTAAATTTAAAATATAATGAAAAGTTTATAAATGACTTGAGAGTTGTAATAGGAAATGATCGCAGAAAATAATTAATTGTGATAGTTGTCGGAATAAACTTTGTTTTATTTATAAAATCGTAAATCTTTTTGTCGATTTGAAGGTAACTAAGATTTGCGTATGTCTAAAAATAATAAATGACTACCGGTGCTCCATCGGTTATCCTGTCACAAAAACAGTTTTTTTTCAACCTGGATTTTAATGAATCCAGAAAATTCATTGAATATATAAAACAGAACGATCTGCAAAGAAATAGACGATTATACTCACAGTTCATAATGTATCATGAATATAATGACACATTTTTTTATGCCAAAACAATTTGTAATGTTTTGAAAATTCTAGTTATTAAAACTGTTTGAAATCTACCTTTTTTTTTTAAACAATGCAATTCTTAAACAGCCATTATATGTATATCATTTCAATGGTATTACATAGCTATATTTCATAATTATATACGTTTCTTTTTGAGCAGTAATATTGTGTTTTCTTAATATTTGGTATAATAAAATTATAGACTATAGTTAATATAAATTTATAAATTTTGATGATATTCAATGGTTTTAGTATAGAATTATAATTTAAAATGATATTTACATATTAATATCTTATAAACATCATAAATATACCGATACCAAACATAAAATTACATCAAAATAATGTATTCAACGGGTGGTTTCTGTTAGATAATTGATATTTTGTCGTTAAAAATTCATAATATTTTTAATTTTAATCCCTGAAATTTAGTTTAAAAATGCAATACATAATCCCTCTTAACCTTTGTTACTTGAAATTAAAAAAAAAAAAGATGAACATTAGCCATCTAGCCATCACATAGTTTATGAGCGGTTAGTGTTCAATTGTTGACGATATTGGATACCATTTAAATGTTTTAGAATGATTTGTACATTAAAAATATTTGATATTTTATTGTTATTTGAAAAAAAAATAGTAATCGTATAAAAACTAGAATATTAATTTATTATATACCTATAAATGATTTGGTTTTTTTTTTGCCGGTGTACCGGTGAATTCAGTGATGATGATAGTTATCGTTTGGATTTGGTGTTTTGTGGAAAGTTGTATTAATTATACTTTGAACGAAAGTGCATTCGACAGAATAATCAGTTTGCTTAATTAACAATCGAGACAACAAAATAAGCATTTCACTGTCACATATGCATGTGAATGTGTTGTAGGTCAACATCGTGAACTAACTGTAATTATTATTTTTAGTGGTGGGAATTAAATTGAATCTTCATATCATAATAAGTAGGTTAATGATATTAAATGTTATCATTATATATTTATTCAAACAAGTGAAACAACATAAAAAGAAGAAATAAAAAAAGAAATATATTCATTACGTAAAGACTATTATTGTATATTATTTGAAAGGGCATCCGTATATAACGACTAAAAATGTGATGGTGATTAAAAAAAAAAATATATATATATATATTATATTATATACAATAAATATATATAAAAGGTACTTTTGTTGTTTTTTTTTTCGATCCATTGATACTATTTTTTTTCAGTGATCACATAATAATATACATATATTCGTTAGCCGTTAGCCGTTAGCCGTTAGTGCTTATAATTTATAATGGGTAACAAAACAGAAGAGAAAAAATAGAATTTTTTTAAAATTATTTAATTATTTCCGGATAGGTTAAACCAGGATAACTCATAAGTTCAAAATGGCTAAAGAGAAACCACCTCTGTGATCAACCTATGACGTCAACTTAACATTTAAGCACATTATAACCGAATGCAGTAAATATAATATAGAAAAGCCACACGCGCAAGACTCGCGCATATCTCATGGCCGAAGAAGACCCTCCATCATGCCTGATGTGCGGAACAATCATTACAGTCAAGCATATACTGACAGAATTTCGTAAATTCAGTGAAAACTACTTGATACACTGTACGAGATGCTATCACCCACTCCCGAGACGACCAAAAAACTCCTCAAGTTCGTCAACTCAACAGAACTGCGTCAACTGATTTGAATATTCTAACTTAGATTAAAATGTAAATCTKTAAATATAGGTAATAAGTAGAAATTAAGCAATTATGTAAGAGATTAATGTAAATTAAATATGTAACGCCGGCTAATAATCATACAGTTGATGCCTCAAACAATTAATAAAAAAAAAAATATAGAAGACTTCAAAAAAATCAACATCCCAGCCAATGACGCAGCTATAGTCTGAACGTAGAAGATACCAATAATATATCCAACTTCTTTAAAAAAAAAAAAAAACCTCTAATATGTGCACCCAAATTTAATGATACGCATAGAAACACAACAACTGTATAGAACTGATTATAATGTTCTATTTTTAAATTTTTTTTTTTACTTTTTTAAACGTGAATAGAAAAAAAAATGTAACCAACGCTACCGTCGCTACCAATGTGAACTAAAAAAAAAAAATAAATAATAACAATATTTTTTCAGACGTTTTATAAAAGAATCATATTTATATTGATATACTTTAACATAATACATTACATACTATAAGTAGTCAATTAATTCTATGAGTTATAAAAATAGATTTTTATTTTATTTGTGTTTTGATGTCAAAAATGAAATTTCAAATGTATTTATGACGAATTTTAAAAAGTAAATATTTGCCAACTGCAGTATTTTATATGAGAATAGTATTTACAATATAATTCTATGCAAGTCATTGATGTGGCATCCCCATATAGGTAATTAAATTAATAAAATGCATTCTAACGGTTGGTAAACGGGGACAATACATCTAGTTAGAGTGTTGTTGAATTTTAAATGAATAATTATTATAGTGTTCGCATACGAGGGAAGCCGAATACGTATATACAATATAAATTCGACGAGCACCCCTAAAGTAATACGTACAAAAATTGCTTGTACAAAGAAATGTCAATTGTTAAACAACCCTAAAGAATTCAACCTATTGAAACGACGATGTTTAATTAAAACTTTGAAACGTTTAAATGCATTCGAAACGATATAGTGACGTCAACGCGAAAAAAAATACTGTGACTAAAAGTACTGTGAAGTTGTCATTAAAAGGCTTAGGTTTGTATTATAAAGAATTTCGAATGGGATTTATTAACCGTGAAGACTGCAGCTGCAAAAAGTTATTTATAATCGCGTGCATTGTCAATTAAAAAATATACTTGCTGTATCGGATGTTCGACTAATAATTGTTCATGTATATTTAATATATTCTATCTTCCTTAGAATATATCTGCAATAATAAATAAATTGAATAATTGATGTAATAAACATTATAGCAGAGTAAGCTTATTACATCTAATTTATTATTATATATTATATTATATTTAAAATGTTTCATCACGTTATAAAGAAAGTAACTATAACACTATACTATACTAACGCATTTAAGGATGTATACTTATTAATTAATATATTTATTAATAAAGTTAAGGGCAAACTGAGTTAAAATATTATGATATCTACTTGTAGTATGTAAAATATTAAACTTATATACGTGTATGGTTTTTATTTTATTTTTTTCAATCAAAATAAATTGCCTAAATGTATATATTAAACAGCTAATTGGATTTTGTTATATAGCTGCAAAATAATACAATATTAGGAGCCGGCATGTGAGTTAGAGTTGTTGAGCAGCGGTTCTGAACTGTTTTGCTATCTAGGACTAGCAGACGACTTATTAAGAAGGAATACTAACCCATTTAGGGTTTTAGCTTAGGTAAAGAATGTAGAGTACACGGTACACTGTACCTACATATGCACATAAAGTTATATTGCAATATTACACATTTTTCTTTAAGTTCATTCTTACTTAATAATAATATATTATAATATTCCCTGTGATTAGAATCTCGTATACAAAAATGATTGTTTGCCACGACAACTGTATAGTTTAATATATATTTATGACTGGTGATCACTCTGAATATATATTATATATAGTGCAATATGCAGATATCCCAAAAAAGTTTACAAATGTAAAAGTAGTTWTAAAAAACGTATTATTTGATGTTGTTCGTTTATTTACACTAGTTTGTCAATTTCGTTTATAAATTAAATAGGGTAAGTACCTATAATAACGAAATCATTTCACAAGTTATATAACTACTATACAAGGAAGTTTTATAGTAATAAATAAGTAGTTGGTTATTTTTTGTTAATATTTGAAATTAGAATTCTTAACTATTTATTATCTAAAATTACTGCTTAATATCAAGGGTGTAGTAAGTATAGTACATTTATTGAATTATTAATATGTCAAT